AGTACGCAGTACGCAGTACGTAGTACGTAGCACGTAGCACGTAGTACGTAGTACGTAGTACGTAGTACGTAGTACGTAGTATGTAGTACGTAGTACGTAGTACGTAGTACGTAGTAGAAGCAGCAGCACAGTAGTAGCATGGACGGAGAGCCTGCGAATCCATGAATAATATCTACGAAAGCCAACAGCGCAAAGCAGATCTTTGCAGCAGCATCGAAAGGTTGCTTGTGGGTCTGGATCGATTGTAGGGGCAGAACAGAATGCATGTTCGGTTACGCCCAACAAATCATGGTGGGCTCCCACGAACCTGAGTTCCGAATCCCAGGAGCTGCGGGGTTGGGCTCCGGAACTCTACTCCTACTGGCTGTTGGTCTATGGAGGCATCGGGCTGCTCGGAACGAGACTCTGTAGGACTCCTCATGCACCGAAGGTGGCATCAATGTCAAGAACATGTTCTATGATTCTATGCTGTTGCCAATGCAATGTTTCATTCGGGCAAAAACCCTTCGCCTGCAGTAATTGGCACTGTGTCCAAAGAGCTGAAGGGACCTCTAGCCATGCAGTTCTCTGGCACTTCTTGCAGGCCGTCGGGGCGTCACCGGTGTTGGGGCCCCAGATCGTGTTTCAAGAGATGTCTGTTGTGGCGGTGGTTGCTGGTGATGGTTGCTACAGCAGCTTGGCCCGTTTTGCCGGGGGAAGGGGGCCATGGTCGACTTCGTTCAGCGTCATGGATACGACTCTCACGCAACTCGGTGGTCCTATCGGAGAACCAAACTGGAAGGACACTCATGGCACGCAAGAGCACAACCGCGACGGCTGAGCACCTCTGAGGCTGGTGATGACCTCAGGACGCAGTTCGGCGCTCAGACATCCGAGGCCCGAGCACTTCCAACTTGGGAGCGATGTGTGCTATATCTCATCATAGATCGAAATAGTTTACGGATGCCGAAAAACAAGAAGCACTCGGCTCGACGTTCTTGCAACAGTGCACACAAGAGGGTAGATCTGCTGGTTTCGAACACAGAGAAGAGGATAGCCCGAGGCCTATCGGGGCACGGCGCAAGGTTCGCTTTTGCGCCTCCTACCCGGACGTCTCCCAGGTGGATGGTGCTGATGTGACAGCTCTCGTCCGTCCATGAAAAGTCGCATGCTGTGATGAACTGCACTGGTAGCTGGCTGCAGCAGAATGTTCAATTCCGGTATGTTTCGGAAGCTTCGTGGGGCGGCGGGTGACGGATCCAGGGTTCAAGGTTCGGAAGCACACTAAGGAACTGACCACGTGGCTACTGTTGTGAAGAGACCCCGCCGAATAAAACCCACGAGACGCTACTGTGTCCTGCAGTGCCGTCGCGGGGCTGCCTGCGAATTCGCCCATGCCAGAGAGGACGTTCCATGCAAAAGGGTGACGTCTCCTTCGTTCAGCCACATGTTAGGATAGTGTAGCTTTGCGTTGTGGGCCGTGTTGGCGCTCAGATTCAGACGAGCATGGTGACTGAGAATGACAAGAGAATTTTGTGCTGATGATCGTTGATTGGCTTCTGTCATTTGTCGTTCTCGAAATACCTATTTTACATGCGTCGAACATAATGAGTACTGTCCATGGCAATGGTCTGAAGATTTATTGAACATGTAACAGTTCCATACCGAAAGCCGTCGTCATGAGCAAACTGCAGACAAACAATAATGGTGCACCGGAGACTTGTCTTTGTCAAACAGGCGTGATTCACGCAGGTGCTCTGACATATACTGCACACGATTCCGTGCAAGTGAAAGAAGTTATGATCGCAGCCAAGAGACAGATCAGGAGTACTTGGAGGTTCATGGGTAGTTCTAGGTGGGGTTATAAGTAGGGCAGCTATACTTATAACCCATATTAGGGGACTTATAACCCTACTTATAACTACCTGCAATTTTCTTTTCAAGCTTCCTCCATTCGAACTGCCCTCGCACAGACCCGCAGATAGAAGCTGAAAAAGTGTTTTGTCACTCTTTTCTGTGGTTTCTCTGGGTACTAACATTTCACATTTCTTGCTCTTCTCATACCCTTTATCGTCATACATTCGGTAAGTCAATTGCAACACATATTTTTTCCAGAGCCACTGCCTACGTTAGCTCGGCAGTTTGAACTGCTTTTGGGATTCACAACCACTGTTGTCCAGTAGGCGTGTGTGTGTGTGTGTGTGTTTCGGCCGCCATCTGATTCTTGACCACTCGACCTAGGGCCAAAGTATGTTGGTTTTCTCGTTTGGCAATTCGTGCTGCATGTCGAACAGTTCAGACACTTCCATCACCGTTAACTTCCAGAAGATAATCTTGTGACTCTTCATGTCGGGTTGTCGTAGCAGAGTGAATCTTCGGCAGCTTTGCCAGGAGTGCGCCACAGAGCTGTTGACAGCTGAGCAAGAGCAGCAGGCCGGGCCGACATGGTGCCTACAGTTTCGCTGCTTCCGAAGCTTCTCCTGTCAGGTTCCCGAAGCATTGACCGAAGACTTCTTCATGTGCCTTCTGGACTGTAGCGCCCCCAAATGCCCCGAAGTCCACAAAGCCGTGAGGTACAAGTACAAGACGCTCTGGTGCCCCATCGGGGTACAGCACGACTGGCAGACCTGCGTCTATGCCCACAACTACCAGGCGGCAGTCCCGACTTTGCAGATTGTAACAGTTTGTTTGATGCAGCTGTTCATATGACATGGCACGTGCAAGCTTCATACGAATTAAGACAACAACTTCGAAACGAATGTGCAAGGCGAAATCAACAGCGACGGGCCATGGCCAAACAGAATCAAACCTACCCTGTGCGGCTTATCAGGTGTCGGCTCTCTTCTTCTCAGCGCCTGTGCATGTTCATTCGTCTTCTGAAACAGTTGAAATTTAGTCTTATTATTCTATCTTGCTTTTTTTCATAGTTGGCTTTGTCCCTTCAAGCTGGCTATATGGCCGTTTCGTTTGGGAGGCTCTAGCTGTCGCTGTTTGCTGCGTGTTTTTGTCGTTTGTTGTCCTTACGTTTTGTTTCCGGTTCTTTTCCTGTTATGAAGAAAACACTGGCATTGCTGAAGCACTCTACTTTGTTTTTTTTCCTCGCTGCTCTTGGTGTTTCTTCCAAGAATTTTGCTTCCGTGGTTTCCCAATGTTTCCGAGGTTAGCGTGCTCAGGACCACGCAGTGTAAGAATCTGTGTACGAGGTGTTGCGGCCGCAGCAATATGTCGATGAAGGCTGTTCGAAAGCTCTAAGGAGATGATCCCAGATAAGAGAAGGTTTAGGGTTTAGGGTTTAGGGCTTAGGGTTTAGGGTTTAGGGTTTAGGTGTCTCAAGGACAGGAGAGCAGCATGCCGGCAACCGGCGACCGCTGTCAAAACGAGTCCTGTCTCGAACCAAACCTTCCTGGCATCTGGTTGTGACATGACATTTTTCTGCACAGATGGTAAAGAACAGAGAGATGACGGAGTGGCTAAATCTTGGAACAGCCGTCGACAGACAGAGGTGCAAGTATGAGGCTCGCACAGATGTGTGCCTTCCATTCCTGCAGAGGATGCCCGACGCCACGTCTCCATCGGCTACGGGCCGCAGCCGTGCCCACACTGGGCCAAGAAAGTGCTCTGCTCAGAAAGTGCCACATGATCCAGCCAGAGGGCCGAGCTCCAAAGCCCCACAAAGTCACAAAGGACCTCGTCGAAACAGCGCTGTTGCTGTTGTAGTGGTCGTCGTATCGCTGCTGTCGGTATTGAAAAAGGGGTGAGTGTTCAGGTTTTCACGGGGTGTCGCATTGCGTCCCGCCTCTGCAGAAGCAGCCAGTTTTTCGGACATGTGGCTCAGCCAGTCTTCTCAGGACCCCAGCTTGCCGTACCACGAGCGCTGCCCGAAGGCTGGAATTGCGGTTTCAGGGGTCCCAACAGAAGAAGAAGAACGAAGCACCATACCTGACAAGGAAGCATGGCAGCCCCAATCCATGCTGGCTTGCACACCCTCCTCGCTAGCGCCCTTGATAGCCTCGGACTAGACCAAGCGAGCTTTCGAAGTTCAGCATCCAGGAGCCTGAAGTTTCGAACTCCGCACCTAAACTCCAAAGTTTTCGGGAGCCAGGGCTTGCGCTGTCCCTATGCGCACGGTGCCAAAGAGCAGCTCTACCATCCGCGCTACTTCAGGCTCGCGGCATCGGCGGTTTGCGGATGCTGTCTGTCGGTTGGTTCAGTTGCTCTTCGAAGCCGACACATCCGTCCACAGGAACTCAGTGCCCAGAGCTTCATGTGCACAAAACCCAAATTCTTGGGTTTCCCAGTGGGCTCAGCCAAGCCACAATCGGCACAAGCACTCAGCAAGAGCCCAGCATCTCATCATCTCAAAGGGTGAGGGACGTTTTGCGGATATCAAAGAGTTCCATGCTGCCAGAACCGTGGTCTGCCGTGATGTGCGCTCCAAGGCAGGGGGGGGTCTGGCCGCGCTACTTGTAATATGGGTTGTGGAGGTTTGTGGAGCCGTCACGGTCTTCATGCAGAAATGAGGGCTTTCCTGCAATTGATGCCCGGGTGGCACATCAACGGCATCTCGGTTAAGCACGGGCGTCTGAAGCCCCAAGACATCCCAGAGCCAGTTTTCTCTCAGGCCTGTCCCCGAGCGCACTTGTGCGCCTTCTTCCATCGACGGGCAGAACGCCGACGGCTGGCCAGCGACGACGGCCGGACAGCACGGACATGGCTTATGACCACTGCTCGCCAAAGATAGTGCCGTTGGTATTGGCAACAGAGATGGTGGTGATGGTGATTCGAAGGGATCGTGCTCACATGTCTGTGCGGCAAAGTTGCTACGGTTCACGTTCTGTTTCGGTTTGACGCTCCGGACCTCACAGGGTTTAGCATTGTCGCTGTTTCGGGGCCTCGCTGTTCAATCTGCAAAGCCGCAGATACGGACTACAGCAGACCTTTGGCTGAGGAGGCATGGGATGCGCTTGAGCCGCCGCATTGAGTCAACTTTTCTAGGAGCTCGTCCAAAGAAGCCGTCTTGTTGCGTTGAAGCTACAACATGTCGTGCGAGAGAGCCTTTCGGCGAGCATGTTATTCTGTCAGAAGCGTACGACTATTATTAACTGAAAATCTCTATTGTATACTATGTTATCCTATACTTTTGCACCATATTTTACACTATAATCTCTATTGTGTACTATATTATCTTATACTTTTGCACCATATTGTAAACTATAATGTTTATTGTGTACTTCAGTCTCTTACACTTTTGCACCGTATTGTAATTTATGATCTTGTCGACTTGGGAGGCCTTGCCTGCAGAATGGAAGGCCGAGTTCCTGCGGCCACCCTTCAGCGATGCGCCTGGGGCCCAGGTCTCGTTCCACATTGCATGACATGAATTATATGCTAAATTATGCCGATAGTGGATTAAATTAGATCATATTATATATTGTATTATATCGTACTGCTCAGGTCCGATTTCTCAAGGTTGAGCCGCTTTTGTTGCCGAGGCCCTCAGAGGCTCCCCTGCCTCCCGGCGGCCTGATGCCAGGCTGGGACCAGTCTTCTGCGGGGGCGGGGGGTTTGCGGACTTGCGCTTGTCTCCTTGTTGCAGTACTGGTACTGAGAAACCCAACTATGGGACGGCAAGCAGCAGAATAGCATTAACGGAACGGTGCGGCACACGCAGCGAAGCGTCACACCATGATGCACATTGCTATGAAACAAATTGCCGCTGTATTCGTCGTTGTGGAATGTTCGTGAAGTAACTAGGCATCTCTTATGAGGAATCGCACTGATGAGACAAGGCTGCCGATCGCAGGCAGTCTTGATTAAAGCATCAGAAAGCAACCAGCCGAAACAAGATGTGTTTAGTGGCTCTCTCTTCTTCTTCTTCTTCTTGCTGCTGTGTGGTGGCAGGTACTAGGAGTGCAAAAGTGGCCGTGCAAACCGGTTTCGTTGACAAAGCTCACAAAGGGGGCGATGTTTGAGCAACCTCCGGCAGGACTGCTCTGAATCCCGCATTCTGGCTGATCAACCGCTCGCAAACCTTGAGTTCTGAGCCCGACACCCTTAACCCAAACCGTAAGCCCTAAACCCAAAACTAAACCCAAACCCTCAACCGAAGACAACAACCCCTAACTGCCCCAACCCAAAGCAGCAGACCCTCACTGAGGCAGCTTCGATTCAACCCTCTGGTCAAGGGATGTGCCGGGCGAAAGCGCTTTCTGCTTGGAACTACAGGCTGAGAGGAGGCTGGTGCTGCTGCTGCTGATGCTGCTACTCATTTCACTTTACTATTGGTAGTGCTGTTACTGGTACTGCTCTTAGTACTGGTACCACCACTGCTACCACGGCTACTGCTACTACTTGTACTGTTGGACTACTGGTACTACTTGTATTATTGGTGCTACTGGCACCACTGACACAACATCAACTCCTACTGAAACAACTACTCCTGCTACTGCTACTG